CCCCCCCCCCCCCCCCCCCCCCCCCCCCCCCCCCCCCCCCCCCCCCCCCCCCCATAGTTTAAGTTTGATAGCTCAACAAGGTACATGAATAACAGGTATCATTATTATTTATCGCACTTACGCTGATATAATAACGCCAACCCCAATCACGATATACCGAATGTTAATAATATTTCCCTATCCTTATTCCTATCATCTATCCCTCCATAGCCGAAAAGGGGAGGTTATCATGGGAGTTATGTGGTATGTGTGGTATACGCCGTATGCGGTATGTCCTTAGGTACACCAAGGTCAAGGGGGCCAGTCACGTCCTTCGGATTACATAGTCCGACATCTCCGTTGGCCTCATCCGGTCTCCTCTGTGACTTCATTATGCCATGTAGATAGATACTTACCCCTTGCTGCGGTTGGCAAACTGACTAACCATCCGCCCGCGCATACCCTCACCACCGCTAGCTTCGAACCGCCAGCCTGCCTTGCTATTATCGTCCTTGTGGCTATCCATGACCTCTAGAAACTTTATCTGTAGCCCCCTTTCCCCTCTCGAGAAAGGGGGATGTCAAACTATCCACATCACTCATCTTTAGGCAACGCCCTAGGATCGCTAGGCCACCAGGGTTCGGTAAGCCTTGCACGGCGACGGGCACTTCTCCGACTTTTGCCGTATATACCTTAAGGTAGATTTGGGAGAACAGTGTTTATATAAGTTTGAATGGCCTCGTAGGTAGCGACGACGAGCAGGTCAATTCTGCGAGTGCCGTCCTCAAAGTCGTCTCTGAGGCAACTCGGGCCATGTAACCTAACTACGTGATATGATAGCACTGTGAGAAATATTCGCGATGTCGAGGATGCAACTCCGTCTCTCTACTTTATGATAGATAAACTACTTCTCAAATAATTTTAGTCAGTCTCCATCGACCACCATCCTGGGTTACCGGGGGAGCGGGGAGGGGGCTAAAGATACGAGTAACGCCTCTCGATAAAATGCGGATATGTCACTCGAAAGCAGTACCTAGCCTCGCCCGGCTACACATTTGTTCAACATATCGGGCAATCCATCATAGACCATACTTGGTTAATAAACGCCGAAATCGAGGGGATCCGGTGGTTGTGGCGAGTATTAACTGAGTGTCATCCTGGAGAGACCACTTGCGCTGATTTAGTTAGTTGAGGGTGTAGATCCCGGACGTGTCTAACATCACGCCGCTCCTCCGACCTTAACCTCAACAAAGCCACCGTCAGGAGCAATAATAAAAGCTTAGCAATTCTGTCAATATCCTGCTAGGCCCTTGTTGAAAATATCTGGAATGAGGTTATGCAGACTTATACGGCTAAGGACTCGTTCGTCAAATCCACTCTCTTATATCTGGACCTCTTGCTCACTGTACGGTCCTGTTTCTACGATCGCGAGATATATGGGCTAGTAATCGAGAACGCGCCGTTTTCGTTTAGTGCATTTTTATGCCACATAAACAGTTCTTCCTTTCGAACCTTTCCTTTCGTCTTTCTAATATGTGCCCCATAAGCTATTCTACGCCGAGCAAGTATCAGGACATGGACTCTTCCAAATATCGTGTCTAAGATCGATGCGGAGAAGCAGCATAACATGTATCGCAGGTCGATCTAGTTGATTACTCCGCCGATGTTCTCCTTTGACTGAACGATTATCGTGGTATTACATCCAGGTAACCCGAAATCCGGAGGCAGTACTACGCCAGAAGACCCAAAAAGAGCCTTTAGGTGGAATATACTTAATACTTATGCAGGGTATGCTTTGCTCCATCGGCTTGTGCTAATGCCAATATGACTCAGTTCGAATAGAGTCGGGAATATCGTCTGTGAGGAGGCTGTTTGCCTAGGCGTCAGCTTCGCATCAAACATAAAAAAATAACTCAGAGATAGCGGGGTAGGGGGGTGGACTGATTAAATGACTTATCTGGTACATCGGATGGATTTCTTAATCATCTTGTGTGTTTATCCTTATTAACATGATATCAGTGAGCTTTTGAACGAGGACAAACCTTGATAGTGCATGTGCCTCCGCTATTCTTCCTGGATCAGCATGGGCCTATGGTTGTGGAGAGACAGCCATAGACAAGGCGTGTTTATGGCCAACTCCAACGCTCCAATGCGCAGGAAAACATGGAGGGCATATGGCTTCATCCCAAACTTGCAATTTTAGCCACTCTAGTGAATACAAGTGTTTCATAGGTTTAGTAGGAAATTGGCCATAGACGACTGAAGTATTACCAGAGCCATCGAATATTAGGCCGCCAGGAATGCCTAACGACAGCCTCTGTCCGAATTCCCCTGAACCATTATGCGAACTGGCAACCCGAAAGTTTCGAGTTCCATAAGATCTGTTCATACTCACGGATCGATGCCGAATGCTTCGACAGGTGGCGGTGATACTATATGGTGCCAGAGATACCGTGACGCCAGAAGTGACCCATATAGATAAGACATCAAAACAAACACAGCTGCAAATGGTTTTTAATCCGATAATATTTTTTAGATATGATTTCGATTTCTTTTTAATGCGGCAACGTGGAGGCTCCGGTACTTAGGAAGGTATACTTATCGTCAAATCACCCCTTCCCCCTCTAGTGTCATGACCGGTCAACTCAACCTCCCTATCAACTAGCATCGCTATATTTTTATCACTCGTCCGCTCTCCCTAGCCTCCCTGATCTAACTCCGTGTCATTTTTATATTGGTAGGGCTTCATTTTCTGTGCTCTGGAGATGGCCTTGATATGGATGGTGAATATTTTGGTCGGTGCGATAACTTCACCCAGGCACCTAGGTACAAACTGTACTAACCCGGAGGAATCAGACAATGCTCTTCAAACCGGCCCAAAGGCTATATTCTCTAGTAGCAGTTTATGAATTGGAGGCCGTATATCCGATTAAGCTCCGACACCTCGTAATCAACAACACAAAGAGGGAGCCCGCGAGCCTTTGCGTGGCTGGTCTACAACGACAGTATCACGCTTAAGTATAAGCATAACCCATCCAGAGCAGAGGCACTTCCAAGAATATGTGAACGCTTTGGCTATTCCTTAATTTCGTAATTAGTTGTTGTTATATACCTACACACAGGCGGGAACTGTGCCCCCCTCCAGCTGAACGTACACCATGGTTTAGCCCCCCTTTTCGCAGAGGCCAATAGCGAGCTCTAGCTAATATAAATTGGCAAACCCGCATCCTTATTCATAGAACTAGCTTAGGGTTCCGCCATGGCCCAGAGCAAGTTCGAACGAAGAGAGGTAGAGACGAAGAAGCTAGCGGTGTCAGCGATGTTACAGGGGGAAGTTCTCGGACCTAACTGAACCACTAAGCATACCTACCTGATTTTACAGCTGATCATCGAAAACCATAATGAATAGCTTCCAAAAAAAGGGAACCTCGTTATATTATACGTCTCCAAGTAGAACCGGAAGATCCGTTTCAATTATGACCGGATTTACTTTACGACAGCTGGCTAGGACCACTGATGGATACCTAAGGTACCTTGGATGGGTGAAAGCGTGTTATCTTAGGGTACTATAGCTTGGACGGCATGGATACGACCCTTATGTTTGACTGGGGTTATGATAGGATGCACGTAGAGCTACCCAAAGTTTGATGTCCAAAAAAAAAATTATGTATAAACATCGTTGTTCTACAAATATCAATTAAGTATGACTACCTAACTAACACAATCGTCCGTGAGAAACCAACGCATCTAGATAGTTGCATACAATGCCTTCGCGACACAAAACAAATGATTTTCGACCCTCCAGTATGCCAGCTCCAAAACCATGCTAACCGCGCTCGCCAACGGTATGTACCCTTGGCTAAGAGAAAAAGAGAAAAAGAGACCAGAAACGCCGGGGAGAATACTCCCATCCATGCAGTTGTGGGAATCTGACGCGAGTCTATCGTAATAGAATATTGTCTGTAAAATGATAAAGGGGATATCTGAGATATCGGGAACTGGCGAGCTACGTGTTCGTAGTACCATTGGTCGTTTCCATAGCGTCGCCATCATCAGCCGCCGCCTCGTGATCGACGGGGCCACCATCCGAAAACTCAGAAGCGCTACCGCCGTTCTTGACCTGGTTTTCCATGGCGAACAAGCGGGCAGCTCTGCCTTCTTTCTTGCGGGGTTGAGGAGCTAAGCGACAAAAGTTAGCCGGCGATCCTGATGTGAAAATTAGATACGATAACTACTAGACGGCACTTACCTCTACCATTCTCCTGGACGTAAAATCGCCGTAATAATGAGACGGCGTCGTCACGAAGATAGCCACCTTCAACCGGATATCCAGATTCCACGTTGCCACCATCGCCGTCATCTTCACCTCTTGGAAGGGGAGTAGCTTTGCCTTGGTGGATACGATCAACGTCTTGAGGACCATATCCATTTTGATAGGGCCGGTCCGATGGCTTGGGGACGGGTTTGGAGTTCTTGTGGATGTTGAAAACGCCTCCGGTTCCCCCAAACTTATCATTAACAGCGCCGAAGTAGACCTTCTTGATGCCTATTTGGCGCATAAGTGAGGCACACATGACGCAGGGTTCGACCGTAACGTAGAGAACACACTCGGATATAATGCTGGGTTTGACCGCTGGGGAAGGATGGTGCTTCTGACCGTAAGGATATACATGAGTCTCTGTCGGATCTACGGTCTCCCAGCTAGGGTGATCCAGGACTGGGCTAGTGCTGGCTGCGCTGCCCTCTATAGGCTTTTCTCGGGAGAGAAGTGCATCCAAGGCCATAAACTCAGCGTGGCGAGTTCCGTTACGGGAAATATTTGTCGCGTTCATTCCTCTGGCAATAATTTTCCCGTTATGGACCAAGACACATCCCACTGGCGTCTCATTCGTGTTTAAAGCTAGATTACCCTAATAAATTTGTTAGCTGGTTTGCCCCTATGCGTGCCATGAGTGAGCTAGGAAAAACATCGTAAAAAAAGAACTTTAGTCAAATAAAAATAGGGGATAGATAGAAGTAAGATCACGACGCCAAGGAAAGTAAACCTTTACCATAGCAAGTGCCTCTTGCATGAAATTAAGATGGTATGCCCGCTCAACTCGTTCCTCTTCCGTCTGAGGTTCGATCAATCCAGGCAAATTAGGAGCTGGAGGTAAAATAGGTCTCTGGACAGAGCTCCTACCGGTGAGAGGTAAGGCAACCATTACTGGAGGGGCATTGGGGGCGCAGGCTCCAGAGGCATCTCTTAGCTTAGGAGGCTGTTCGGTATTGGAGGTATTATCATCAAGAGTAAGACGGCCAACACTGGCGGTGACCTTTTCGATCTGCCCATTTGGGGGTGTGTTCTCCGGCATTGTAGAATTGTTAGAGGAAACAGAGGTTGTGATAACAGGCTGGCTGCGGGTACCCGTTTTCTGGGCTTGTGTCTGGTTCTCTGCAGAGAGGGGCTTCAGGGCAAGCGGCTGCGGCTCAGATTGAGAGACGGATGATGATATATTATGAGAAGGGACATTCTCCTTTTTATTATCAACGTGAGGAGTTGGAGTCGTAAGGCCGTGGCTAAGACCTTGGCTTCGGCCGCCATTTTTAGGACCGAGTTGCTTTTGACTATCGGGTTGATGAGAGCTAATTCTGGTGTCACCTTGATTCGCAACGAGAGTAACGCTACTGGGTTGTCCAAGAGGCGACGCATGATTCTGGTTAGCTGTAGGCCTGTTGGGTATACCATTTTGCTGTGCGGCGGTTGGTGCGTTAGATGTATTAGAAGATGTATTGGAAGCACTAGGCTTTGGGCCTGAGCCTTTGGAACCGCCTCGCTTTTGGCCACGTTTCTTAGACTGCGCCATGGTATCGTCTTGAGATGAAGAGTCCAAACCCCGTTCGAGATCTATGAAGGGAGAATTGTGGTACTGTTGTGAGGATTGGGGGCTGGGAGAAGGTGGACATAAAGAAGGGTTTTTATACTGGTGCTGGTCCTGATTTTGATCTTGGTGTTGGTTTTGGTTTTGGCTTTGGCCTTGCCCTTGCTCGGTTGAAAGGTTGGGATTTACTGAATGAGAACTTGTCGAGCGTGGTGAATCTTTTGAATCTTTTGAAAGGTTTGGTGATTGTTGCTGTGGTGTCAGGCCTGAGTCAGGTGTCGAGTTGAAGGGAAAGAAGCGGGCATAAAGTTGGATGAAAGACGCAAACAGCGCCTGCCAGGTCCGCCAGAGGCTCACAGCGTAACCTAAGATCTTGTGTCCCGCCATTGCTTCCTCTTTCCTTCTTCCCGTGCTTTCCTTATAAATGTAATGTACCTTATCCCTTTTCTTTTTCTTTTTTAATTTTTAATTTTTTTTTTTCCAACCCCAAACTTAAATCGATAAAAACAGGCGCAATTACTACAACTTTCTAACCCAATAAGATAAGTAGAAAGCCCGTGATGCTGTCACCACCACCAGCCACCCCAGTTGAATGAGATGAATGAGATAAAGCAGCTAATTATCAGATGAAGCAATGCCGACCGCTAATGAATGGTAAGGCAAGACCTGCATAAGCCTCCTTCTCCTGTGTACCTAAGTCAACCAAGGAGGTTGTCACCTCTTTGGTGAGAGCGAGCGGCGTTAGTACCTACAAAGGACTCTAAATGAACGTGCATCTGTCAAAACGCTATGTCTTTCCGTTCCTAGGACCTAGGTCACTCCCATATCGTTAGAGGATAGGATAAGGTAGCACATCCGGGAATCATGACTGAGTCGAAGCGGCGGGATGGGAAAAATGGTGATTATATTTTTATATATACTTAGGTATATACTAAGTATATAAAAAAAATAATTATATCACATATATATTTATCACAACGAGGGGAAGCTGTTCCGGCGGCGCGGCTGAGAATTTTCTACAGTTTTTTTTTTTTTCTTCAGAATAAAAAAAAGCTAATTGCCTAACTTGCGCTAGTTCCAAGGTCTACTTTCCTTAATTAGGGCTAGACCTGGCCTAGACTTTACCATTCAAGGTAAAGACCGATAATGCTAATCTCAGCGGGAACGTCCCGAAATACATACTACCTCTGTACCACTTAGTCGGAGAAGTGGGTGTGGATTAGGTAAGTCGTAGGTGCCAAGTGTGAGCATACCCGTTGGACCTCACTTGTTATTGAAAGAGCATATAATGATTTAAAATTTCCACCATTTCCATAATAAATCACTACATAAGATAAAACTAACTACCTCATCAAGACCAACTATCAATTCATTTCACATAATCATTAAGAACCAGTAGTGTTAATAAAAAGCAGTTAAAGGTCGTATTATTACTCTAAGTAGATGTGAAAATACATCACCTCCTAGATGTCGTCAGCTGGACCAACCTTCAACCACCTTCTTTCCTTGAGCCGTTTAGCCTATACGAGGCTAGAAGCTCACTTCAAATCCACCACCGCCTGTTTTTAAACTAGGGTATCATAATTTGCTTTTCCGATGAGCGCAATCATATGCCAAGCAAATGCCAACTATAACAATACATAGGAGAAATAGGTCCTAGGATGATATCATCATTAGACAAGACTTGTCATGCGCCGTATGCGGGAGCCCAGGGCCGTAGTACTCTTGCAGGATGAGTCTAGGATGTTGGTGAAGTTGCTGCGAGCCTTGGAGATGTCTTCCGATAGTCGAGAAAATCCTGGTTCGGCGGCGTTTGTACCATCAACCAGTCGTCCGGGGAAGGAAAGAAGTTGTGTGGCCAGATCCAGCATGGCCGCACTCGAAATTTGTTGCCGTAGCATGGTGTAAGCAACGACAATAGATAGAGACCCTAGACAGATCCCAATATCTACGGCTTTATCGCTTAGGGGTTGCCAGTGGCGTAGCATGCTCAAAGATGCGTATGCAAACAACAGCACGTATGCTGCAATTGCGCTCACAATCGTCTTGGGCTGATTGTGCATACCTGCCCTGGCTTGTGATTGCGGCGCTCTTAGGGATGCTGACTGAAGCAGCCTACGTTCTACGGGGCGGTTATTTCTGCTACAGCCCAAAGATGGCACTGTCTTGGTCCTGTCAGACGAGGAGGTGGATAGACCAGCGGCATCAGAGAAACCAATCTCCTCAACAGCATCCTGGGCTGCGATAATTCGAGAAATCGCATGAGAAATGCCAGAGGAAGGACGCCTAGGTGCATTCCAGGCATGGGGTTCTGCGATGGAAGACTTAGAAGATGCCACATCTTGAGACAAAGAAGATGAAGCAATTGCGTCCATCGTGCGGTGCTCAGAGAGAGTAGAAGGTTTGGATCCTTCCGCGCTGTGAGTTATGATGTTCTGCAGATATCTTAGCTTGAAGTCACGATTCAATACGTAGTAGGAATGACTTACGGTCTTGGGAAGCTTGCTGAACTCGCGACGTAGCTGGCTTGTCGAAGACAGTTCCATTGTGGCCTCAGACCCTCCAGATGTAGTAAACCAAGCGCCACTACTGCTTGTCAGCGTGGCAACTGTGTCTTGTTGCTTGTGCCGTTCTGCAAGGTTCTGGTTGTGTTTTCTTAGAGCTGTGGGACGTGGTGACCTAGGCTCAGATTCGTGTAGCGGGGATAGTGATACGCCTACTCCAGCTGGCGATGGTGAAGTCCGTGGTTGGAGCTGCGATTCGCCGGTCCTTACTGGTGAGAATGGGGCCGGTAGGCCAGGCGGAACGCGAGACTCGGGTACTTGGCTGCGCTGTCGGCTGTCGCCTTGTGCCACTAGGGACTGGATCGGGGCGTCGGATATTCCCTCGTAATATGATATTGTATCTAGGCCGGTTGGCGATGATGCTTGTTCCTGTAAAACCAGCGACGCTGGATAGTCTATGTTTGTAGATATACCTAGCTGAGTATCCCGACTCTGATCTTGGTCTAGGATACTCTTTCGTATGTGAGAGTCAGCCGGTGATTGGTCGTTTACGTATCGTATGTAGTCGGATTGTGGCAACGCTGCAACTTCCGTAGTTAGGCTTGGGTCATCATCCAGACAAATTGAAGAGCCCGGCGAGTATAGATTGAAGTCGGCGTAGTTGTTGCCAACCTCGCCACCTGGGTTTAGATAAGGTGGTAGTACTGCCTGGGCATCTTCGGTTATGCTAACGGTAGTGTTCTCTGGGGCTGCTATCTGCGCGGGAGTAATTGGTTGAGATGGAGAGTGTGAGCTAGATGAAGTTGGTGTGAGGTGGCCCTCGGGGTCAAAGAGGAAGTCGTAGTCGTATGGAATGGGCTCCTCGTCGTACTGGACAAACTGATCCCAATCCATAGTAGGATCAACCAACGAATCCGATACGATTGTGTCAAAAGATGAAGCAGATAGGTCTGCAATGTCGAATGATGGCATACATAAAGGTTGATCCAAAGGTTGTAATGTTGTTTGGGGTGGAGGTGCGGCCGCTGGAACGGACGGTGCAGCAGCCTTCTTCGCCTTCTTGGCTGTTCTAGTCGTAGAAGAACCGGAAGACCGCTTATGGCTCGGATCACAACGAACCTTCTTTCTCCTGCAAGAATCGCAAGCTTTGATGATTCGCATTAAGTGGGCGTGGTCGCGCTGCTCTTTCGTTTTGCAACCACGAGAAGCCGAGTTGGTAACATCCTTTCCGTCCTTGGTCAAAATTTTCATACCGGGAAGATGTGAGAAATCGTTGGACAGAGCCGCCTTTTTAGGGGACGGCTTCTGGGTCCTGCGTTCGCTTGATGAAGAGATATTGCTAGCTTGAGTCCATTGGCTCTCTGACATAACAGGAGATGTGAAGTTGGAAGCGTAGCCGGAATCAGCGAAGGTGGTACTGGGCGATTCCGTAGCAGAACCAAAACTAGGGTATACCATAAAGAATTTGAAGAGTTCGCCGGTCGCCATGCTATGCTCGAAGAATTCCATGGAGACGGTAGCACGCTTCTCGAGGATGGATGCATTTCCGGGAACGTAAGCGTCGATCATCTCGTCCAACTCCTTGGAACCCATGGCAGGGAAGAACTGCAACGGGGCACCAATGGCAGGCTGATGAACCGAGAAACCCATAAGGGAAGTAGAAGAGCTGATACCGGACGTGTACGACATATTGCTGATAACTCTATTCGAGGTACCGTGGGAATGGGATATGTATGATGCAGGTTAGTTAGATTGGCGATTTTGGTGGCCTCTAGTAAACGTTGGTTTATAGGTAAGCACCAAGTTTCGTCGTAAAATGTGATAAGTCAACGCCAACTTGTATGCAGGTTGACTTGGCTTGGCTTGCAGTTATAGATTCTGGTATAATAATAGTGATGATATAATAGCAATAACAATTCTTCAGAATCCGCTTTGGGGCTATAGATTTGACTTGTGCCTAGGTAATTGTTCTGAAAGTGATGTGTATAGGCTAACAGATGGAGGGATGTGCTTGTCTTTTTTTTTTTCTTTATCTTTTTGTTTTTCCTTTTCAGGGGAACCTGCTTTTGAGTCTAGGCACCTAGGTCGACGATGTCTAGCTCAAAGAGTCAGGGGGGGTTAAAGAGCGTAAGCCTTCGAGGAGGTCGAAGTAACAAGTTTGACAATGGTCAATGGGTATAAGGTTGGGAAGCCTAGGTAGAGTTCCAATCCACTACTATAATCTGATGGGAAGAGATGAGAAGGGACAAAAAAAGAAGAAGAAAAGAAGTTGGAATCTTACGGGAGGGAGTCACAGGATGATATTTCACTTCTGACAGACCAGATCCTAAGCTTTTTGTTATACACTATATGTACCTAGGTAGGTACACAACACATAGCATAGTGCCGTAAGTATCATAGTGCCTGCAAAGCCTCAATTCATCACTAGGAAAAGAATGGCGGAGCAAGGTTTTGAGACCCACCACGGCGAAGAAGTAGATCGACCGTTCAGCCAATCACCTTGGATTTCTAGTGGATACGGGCCTTCCAGCTTTCAAGTACTCTGCTGCATAATTTGTTAGTATTTAGCGGTGATTACTACCAAAACACTAACAGTGTCAGATATCTGTCCCATCTCGGCTGGGGAAAGATGCGTGGTGGCCTGAGGCATCCATCGGCAAGACCAAACAGGGTGGATTGACTCATCCGAGAATTGGCCAATTAACAATTAACTAACCCCTCCTAAAATTGAGACGAACCTTTCCTTTCATTTTATTAGAGGTATTTCGATGCGAGATTTCGGTGCCGCATCCCCCCTTACACAGGTTCATCATACAAGCCACGAAACTAATTATTGGTGTTTTCTCTTTTTTCTCTCTCGTTTTTCTCCTTCTTCCTCGCTGGGATGACTACCTAAAGGTACCTAAGGCTAAGGAAGGAAAAAAACATGCCGTAGCATGCATTTTGTTTGTCGTGTATTCCGGACTTGTTAGGTTATTAATTCTTAAGACTTTCGTTCCCCCATTGAAAACCCCGCCAGATCTCCTCTCAGATCTACTATGGTAGTGGGAGGCCCGCCGGCCAACGTTGCACCAAAGACCTACATGAACTTCTTATATATTAGTCACTCACTACATCCAATTGCCTTGAGTACCTCCTAAGGCGCTAAGGTTAGGTACCTTATATGATATGTGACTAGAATATGACTAGATTAGAATAAGACTCCGATACGCTTACCGACTAACAATAACACGTGAAACATGTTATTGGATGGTACTGGCAAGATATCTAATTGTCTCGTCTTAGTATATGTCCACCCTGCCGTCTACAAGTCCACGTACAGAGGCATGCATATAGAGGCATGTCCGATATCGAGAGGATAGCCTGTGTATTTCTGTAGCTCGTATATAGCTATATAGATATATATATCATATCCAAAAATGTCCCTCATTATTAACGCCAGCTATCCACAAGCTGCCAGTATAGCCATACCAACGCCTGAGAAATGGAAAGGGTATCGATGCCAATTATGCAAAGTAGTTTTGCCTGCCAATAGTTATATCGTAACAAGTAAAAATAAGTATCAAGAAAGCCATTTTCTGTAAAGAGATAAGGCGAGCCCGTTTCCCCGACTCGAAGCAATCTCGGTTCGTTATGCTGTTATCAGGGCACTGAAATGGTGCCGTGTCAAAACTCTCCCACTAGGATGTTGGTCCCTGAGATGTTGGCGACGGAGACCTTGATAATGAGGCTATCAACCGGTTAGAATAGCTATGAGCAGCTTAAATTTTTCTTCACTAACCTCGACACCCAGCCGTGACTTGACCCGGTCCTTTACGGACCATGTCACCACGAATCCAATCAAGACTAATACTAGAGACGACCAACTCAATGCGTCTGAGTGAATAGCGGGAGATGGCAATGGACCCGACTCAGTAAAACGGCTACTTTCTCGAATGATGGTGGTTAATAAAGGTACTACGATTGAAAGGAGGTGGCCAATGGGCAGCTTAGCATATGGAAGCAAGCGTACAGGGCATTGGCGAGATAGTTTGCACCTGGTGTAATCTTTCCGAGCAGGGCAGAGGGGTTTCCGTGCAGAATTCCCATGGTTAGTACGGGAATTATTAGAAGAGTCACTACTAGTTTCCCACTTGGTATTGTGGTAGTGTGAGTTTCCGTACGAGTTTACGGCACCGAAATAGGATCCGTATCCTCTGTTTGAGGCTCCGCCACCGAGCCACGGTTGGTTCCCTTCCGGTGGGAAGCTCGAAGAAAAGGCGGCTTCGGACTCGCTATATTGGGTTAAGGTTACCGCGGATCCTGCGACTGATTCATCTCTCGTGGACCCGTAGTACCACCTCTGACAAGAACCTGAGCAACTCTCTCTAGTACATCGGAATGGGGATAGCGGTGATTCTAGATCATTAGGAGCCCAAGCCCTAGCACGGCAACGCGTGCACACGAGCCAGAAGCACGGATTAACGTCATGAAAGGGGTGGTGTCTTGTTCGGAAATGGTTAGATAGCTCTCGGAGCGGCCCCGTCCAGTGGCAAGCTTCCGAGGAAGTTTCCGACCCAGAATCCATCGAACCCTTGTACTCACATTGCCAGCGATTTGGAAATCTCTCCATCTGGCTACCAATCTCAAGATATTCGAGCTGTACGTGTCCATCTGGCGATTGCGTACCCATGTCCTTACCTGGGTGGTAAGTTTGCCCTGGAACTTGGAGCATTGCGCTGTCTAGATGCACCGAGTCGGCATCGAATCCGCTCACAATCTGCTGCACGTCTGAACGAACGGCCTCGTGATCTCCAATCGAAGACTGCAAGTCAATAATGATGTCATTCATCGTGGAATCTTGGTCCGCCGACGCCATCGCAGCCCCGCCAGCCCCAAATGTATTCCAAGTCTGATCTATCGGCGTCAGCATCACAACATCATTTCGGCCATGCAATCTGCCGCGACTAGGGGATGCCGGGAGAAGAGTGGCTTGGTAGCCTTCTTCTAGGCGACTAAAATCGTGGCAGTCGCACTGCAAATATTTATTAGTATAGCTCCGATAATGCGATATAGTTGGAATGGCGTACCGTTATTTTCTTGGCCCGATGAAGAGGGCAGGCAAGCTTCAGCTTCCGCTTGAGTGCAGTATTCAGTCTAGTACGGGAATCAAGTGGTCCTCTTCTCCTGCCCCGCTGGCGTCTGGGTTGATCTGTACCTTGTGTCGTCCTGTCCTGGACGGAAGGCGTGCCAGGCTCGTCTGTTGGCGAATGAATGGTACTAGTAATGGACGGGGTCGCTTGTGGAGGTATCAAATTATGCTGCGAAGCGACATGAGTTTGTAAGCGCATGCGTTCGTGTGTTTGTCGAATATCGTTATATATCTTCTGATTCTCGGGAGTAGGTTCGACAATAATTCTGTGAGCATGGAGCGACTCATAGCCCTTAAACGTTTGGTTAGGCGAGGCCATGGTGCCGAGTACCTGATCAATGACAGAGTAGCTATCAGACAGCCTTGTGATGAGTGGTGAGGCCTGCCAGTACCGTACATTTACCTGGTAAGGTAGAAATGAAGTTGTGCAGGGCAGCAGGGGCGAAATGTTATGATGGAGTAAAGTAGAAAGTAGAAAATATAAAATTGGATTTAATAAGATTTCGGATACCTTAGGTACGTGAGTATTGAAAGGTTGGTGGGCTGTGTATAGGTTAGGTAGTGATGGGAAGACACAAGATCGAGCGGGACATAATATTTGAGGAACGACCTCCGGGGGGTTGCCCAAAGGATGTATGTACAATACAATACAATACATCTACATATGTACCTGTTATAGCAACGAATGTAGCAACGAATGTACATATTACGCCTGGTTTGAGGCTGACTGGCGAAGGCAGATTTTTACAAAACCCCTCCCCACATCGGAGCATAGCGGCCATAGGCCATATGAACTTGCTTGTGCTGAGTTGGCGCATACTTACCGATCATTGGATTTCCCATAGCTACCTAAGGTAGGTTCAAAAGGTAATGCGTCATCCTTCAACCACGAATAATATCTGCATGAGATCCTGGCTACATGTAGACCATGTAATACCTACCTACCTTACCTAGGTACCTAACCAAGAGGCCATTGGTTTATAGGTAAAGCAGGAATGTAGTGTAGGTATGTAAAGAGACGGTCTATCTTGGACTGTGCCCTTTTTTTTTCTTTTTTCTTTTTTTCCTCCGAATCCCACAGACGTAACTGCGACCCCACCGCCTACGTAGTAGCTTTGCGCTTCTTTACAGCAGTGTAGACCGTGAGCACTAAAGTGGTAAAGGTCGGATTGACACGTAGCATAGCGTCCGAACATTTGCGCTTTAAAATCAAACCGACGCGTTGCTTCATGATACTTGTCGCGGGTTTCTATAGGTATCTTGCATCGCCAATCCATACTTTCTTCTAGACGGCCAATTAAGTGAATTTTGCTACAATCAACTGTTATTTCTTCCTAGCCTCGGGTCGAGGCAGGTTCTCAATTACTTTAAACACGGCCAGAAGTAAGCGTTGTACGCAATGTTATTTGGCGTAATCCTAGCTTGTATTTGTTGGCCATGCACTATCTGTGTTCCCCGTCTCTCAGAGCTGCCCAGGTCAGGAAATTCGCAAGAGGGTTACGCGCACATGCCCTACAGTGGTCGTGTGAATTCAAACAGATCATGAGCTTCCCTGCTCCATGGTCCTCCGTTCGCTGTAGCAAACCCAGGCATCGCTGCGCCACAAGCTTTGCGTCGGGCTTCTGATCTAGTCTTCTGCTCGTCAAGTTCATGCCTCCCAGGATCTTGTGGCCGTCCTAAGGTCGTTTCAGACGGTAATGGACATTGCGGGACATGGCCGGCAGCATCCGAAGGCTTGGCAGCCTTCCTCCCTCGGGTGGCGGGGTTGACCACCATCTTTGCAGCAGGTAGCCGCGTCGCCGCAGTGTCGTCAGACAATAAAGCCTGCACGTCTGAGTCCCCGCTGACTCGGGCTGGCGTGGGTCTAGTTTGCTCCTGCGGAAGACGTGAAATTTCTTTGACGTCGGCCACACTTATGTTGCGGGTTTCGAGAGACTCCGGGGAACCACCATTGCTTACCGCCCTTGCTTTCTTAGCTAGAGGAGGCTGCGCGGCCGAGTGGTTCGCGGAAAAGCTGTTGGTGAGACTTGCCTTACCATATTCACCACCACGCTCGTTCCATTGAAGCCCGCTGTCTTTATTGTTGTCATTATTAATTTCTTCATCGAGAATAAGCCCAATCACTTCCTTACTACGTACGCTCCTGCGACCCAATTGAGCAAGGCGAGGAGCAGGAACGTCATCAAGTCGAGCCGTGTCATCTTCATTAGCCATGTTCCGGTTCTCATTATCCATTTCTGTCGTCAAATAGGAGTCTGCACTATCACCAGTTCGGAGTCTTTCCTTCTTCTTCCTGGATAACTCATTTCTGCTCCTGGAAGATCTTGTTCCCTCCACGGGAGTACCATATTCGTACACAGGGCTGGAAGGCCGGGCAGGATCGTACTTCTTCGTACCACTGTCTATGTTTATCGAACTGTCTTCAATATCTTCATCTTCATCTGCTTTCGCGATATCGCTTAGTGAAGCGGGTTGGTCCTGGTAATCGATTTGGCTCTTGGATGTTTTTGATGCTGATGGACTGTCATTATTCAACTTCTCGGATACCATTACCAGGCCTCGCTTCTTCCTGGGTTTGATACGCAACTCTGTTCTCGGCTCGCTTATAGATGGTTCCTGGACTAATTCCAAGTGCTCTTTAGTATTTTCAACCATATTAGCTTTATTTTTGGACTTTGTTTTTGTAGGAAGACCCTGACTCCGAACAGATTTGTTTGGTCCTAACATGGAGGGCGCGCTTTCAGCTTTTCTATTAATTGAATTTGCCGCTGAAGCTGTATCTCCAAGAGCGTTATGGTTATCCTTGAACAGTGGAGGCCCATCATAGTTCTCTTGACCTTTGGAAAGCAAGTTTATCGACGTCGGTTGTAGTGCTTCGACATCCACGCATCGTCCCGTAGTTTGTTCCCTTCGCCTTACCCCCAACTGCCTTTCGTTGGCACGCGAAGGGCGTTGTTCACTGATATCAATTTGATCACATAAGGGAAGCAGGGATGGTTGTGGCTCAATGGAATCCCGTGATGTAGTGGCTGAATGCTCTTGGTTTACGTCCTTCGACGTCGCACCCCTAGTGGTGGTATTTCGCATATCCCCGTGGACTCTTCTATTTAACCCACGGACTGGTACAGGCGCGGCACCTGAGCTGCTATCACGGGTGCTAGGAATAGCTGACGATACAGACTGGTTGTCAACAGAGACGGATGTCAACTTTGGTGGCCTGCTCCGTAGTAGTGGACTGCTTGCTGGTGTGGCGGACAATGTCAACGAAGCGCCAAATAAGCTTTGTGCGTAGCCACTCTTGCTGGGAGGCGACACATCTCGCTTCCTTCGCTTCGCAGGGCGTGTATCGCCATCCTGTGCTGGAGCAGCCTGCTTTTGTCTTTCTTCGTATGGGGATTCGGTTGGCACGACAGCACGGCCATGATGACCTGTAGGCGTACCAATTAAATTATGAAGGGGCTTGTGCCGTAGCTGGAAGTGAGGGGTGGCAACATTTGGCGTGCTAGCCTCAACCGCAGGAAGGCGTCGCGCAAGAGCAGCAGACTGGCGTTCTGCCCTTTCTCGAGCTCTCTTGTCTATGAGTTCGGAAAGGTCTTGATCACGACTCCCCGTACATTCGGCGACCTGGACAATGGTGCCTCCTCTTTCAAGTTCGACTTCCTCACCTTCGTCAAAATCGTAATCTTCATGCCAATGTGTGTCCCCTACGAAGTTACCGCGGTCATCGTATACCATAATACGTTTATTGAATGTGTGATATTTTAACCTCCCATCTTGCCAGCGCTTTTGCTTCCTGCGAAGATCGCGCGTGAAGAGACAAACGTAGTCAAGGACCGGAGCGGTGCTACCGGGTGTTGATTGATGATTTGAAGAAGCAGAGCTATGCATTACTTGCATAGATACAGCCATAGGTATTGATGAATACCTGTAGACATTGAGGACGTTAATGTTTATTATAGAGGTTTATGGCTTGGTGGTGCCTGTAATAGCCTGATGTCGCTGCTAAGCTCAAAAAGTTGATGTGGAGGGGTTAAAATGGGAATTAAACCGCGTTCGGGCTATTAACGCGTTTAAGTACCTAATCTTTTAATCTATGCAAATCACGAAATCATTAAAGAAATCGCGTCCCACATAGCCTACCACAACGCGTTAGCACGTGCTCCTAGCCTTATGCATCAACTGCTAAAATAGTAGCTAGGTACATGTGATAAACATGGACATCCGAGTCATCTGTTAGGGGTATGATGTATGCTGCGCTACTCCGCTATTCGTTTCGAGAAAATTAAGAAAAGAGCAGGAATAAGACTAGGTAGGATTAGATTGATATTACTAGGTACCTACATTAGTATATTATCATCCACTAATAAAGTTCCATGTACCAGGACCAATTCCTATAACAGCTATCTTTAGCCAAATAGGTACCTTTTGTCCATCCTTAAGCTACACCTAGTGGAAGTGACAAGGTTAGGTATGTAAAGTTCCAATCCGCATAGCTCGTCGGTAAATCGGCAGCCGTTCCTCTCATGTCAATTACAGGTATTCTACGCCTCCTTCTTCTCTCAGGGTCCCCCCCTGTTTCTGCCTACGTTTCCGCCCCTACATAGGTACTTAGTACATTGCTTCCATCTTCCGACGCGAAAAAGAACAGCACAGTTAGACCAACTTATTTCGCTTCCCACGACAATTCCCATCCCATCTTGTTTAACTATTTTACTTTCTTGCTTACATTTCAATCCGCGAATATACCGTCTCCCCCTCCCCCCCTTCGCCCTACCATCACTTGGAAATAATAAGTTCAAGCCTACAGAAGTTCTCGCCATGCTATTAATCGAAGCTACGAACCCCGCGTGCTATTGATTTGTTCATAACTCTCTCTCCCCCCCACCACGCGCTCTTCCTTTTGAGGATAAGCACTCAGGTACAGGACCGATATAGTGGCAAGCTCAACAACGAGCTCAACAACTAGACTATCATGCAATCCATGCAAAGACAATTCGGAAAATTACTTCACAAGAGTCCCGGAGATAATGCTCGAGTTGCTGTTTTACTAACCGATTATGAGGACGCCGATAGAGTTCTTGCTAAGGTACGGACTAAAAGAGGGTTGTCCTTCTCAATTCACCACGATTCTCGCCGCCCGCATGCTAATTTACTTCCATGTGTTTAGATCATTGACCATACCAAGTCATGGCACGAATCCTGGATCAGCCTAGCTATGGCGCAATTGGGTATAGTCACAGAGTACGACGGCCTTTGGGACCCAATAGTCGGTGCTACCGATGGCCATGGAACACCGGCATTGCCGACCCCGGACCTCCAGCTCGAACGCACCTTGAGGTTGAAACAGGCTTATACAGAACTAAAGGCGGAAATATTGGAGGAACTAGGTCTCATTGAGTCTACCATAATTAGGCCCGCTGCCGACGCTCGGGATTGCATTGCTCCTTTGAGGAAGACCATTAAGAAGCGAGAAAATAAGAGGTTAGATTACGAGAAGTGTCAAGACAAAGTCAACAAATTGCAGAGGAAGGCTGCTCGGACTCCTAAGGAGGATGCTGCTCTAGCTAAAGCCGAAGCTGAAGTTGCGCGAACAGCTGAGGTACAGACTCTAATATGATGCGAAACAGCATGGCTAATAGAAGCTAACCAGTCTTATAGGAATTTGAAGTTGCAGACTCACATCTTAGAGAAACATTACCACCCTTGGTGTCTGCAATTTTCAGCATCATACCGCCGCTCATAGCGGGAGTGGTCGTGATTCAGAATAGGCTACTCGGACTGTATTATACCACGCTCCATAACTATTGCCAAGAGTATGACTTTCCATCGCCGCCGCCACCCATGGAAAGTGTGATATCCATGTGGTCGGCTGCTTATGAGCCCGTCAAGCGCGAAACCGAATCGATAACATGCATCGCAACGGGCAAGGCTGTCCGGCAGCCTATGAAACTACCTGACGATCCAAGCAATGTCAGCAATAATAACGATCGCAAACCATCCACATCGTCCGCCACTTCTTCCACCGCAGAGAACGGCTTTCGTCGTACGCCGTCCGGACTCATCGGCTCCAGTAGCTCCGCTCCGTCTCCATCTGGCCCGCGGCCGAAACGCATCCCTTCGTCAACCTCGATAGCGTCATCCCAAGAAAGCACTGTGCCACAGCCAAAACCGAAACCGTCGTTTACTATCGGCAACCATCTTACACCCACAGACTTTACCACGGCGTCTCGACTTGGCCAAGGACATACACCGGCTATATCACCTAGTTCTACTCAACCACGAGCGGACTATTTCGGCCGGCCTTCAACAGCAGCCACAACGACATCCAATGCGTCGTTCAACACAGCCGTTAGCGCAGCCTCCATTGCCGTCAAGAAGAAGCCGCCACCACCACCGCCCCCGAAGAAGATAGGCGCAAACAAGCCGGAATTCGTAATCGCCCAGTTTGATTTCGCGGGACAAAGTGCAGGCGACCTATCCTTCCGCGAAGGGGACAGAATAAAGATTATCAAAAAGACGGGCACGGACCAGGACTGGTGGATGGGCGAATTGGATGGCGTCCGGGGCAGCTTCCCGGCAAATTACTGTAAAGCAACTTAGCAAGTAGCGACTCCGGGACAAAGTGCTAGAAGTGGGAATCAAAACGCAGACACCAGGGTCGGGGTATGCGGTATTATATATAAGTATTTTAATAAGTATCGCTTTTTTGTTCTATGTTGATGATAGTCTAAAGGGGGGGAGGAAGGGAATTGCTCTACTCTCTTTCCAGTCATGGTCATGTTTCAAAATACACGGAGGAAAAATGGCTTCACCGATGAGTGTGGGTGAGTGGGTGGGTGAAGGTGAAGGTGAAATGAGTAGATGGGGATGGATAATGGAATGGGAAAAGATTTACCTTCCTTTCATGTCATAATGGGATATCTGGATGATTTATATGTGTGAGAGGTGCAGAAAGCAAAGGGGGAAAAAAGAAAAAAGGGAAAAGCACAATTGGGGATATGTGCACTCAGTCTGCTTAGCGCAGTCACGTCCGCCTAATAACCTAGCATAGCACACAATAGAAGTAATAGAAGTTACTCCTCCTCTCTAGTCAGATACATAGTAGGTAATTTAATTATCTTACTTTGCTCTTTTTTTATTTTATTTTTTTTATTTTTTTATTTTTTTTCATTTCCGCGACCTTGGGTACATAAAACCAACCCACCACCAATGACAAATAAAATAACACGAACGGGTTTGCCCACGCGGGGAGCTGCCTCAGAGAGTAGGGCGAGAACGAAAGTCTATAAACATAAACAGAGACTAAAGCCAATAGACTCGACTCAAATCAGATACATGAAAAAAGGGGGGTGGCAGATGTCAAGACTGCCGCGCGATGAACAACCTATTTGCCATTTCCCTACGCCTGTTGAATCCATACATGCAAGTGTAGTAATAGCTGTAGCTGTAGTTGTACCATCCGGTCTTGGTTGAGGATATCGGGTATCATAAACGGGACAAATAAAACATCGCGGCTCGAGGCGCCGGTACGTATGCTTGGGGCCAGAGGACGTGATGGCAGTCGAACAGGTAGAAATGCCGTGGTAAATAGATCCAGACCGCGCAATGCAATTCTTGAACATAGTACTGAAAGAGTGGTATCATTGATACCCAAAACAGGAGACCTTCCCCCCTTGTTTGTAGGTACGACATGCCGGGATTCAGGCTGTTGAAAAAATAAAAAAAGACTCGCACGACGGGATATCTGCTTGGAGAGCCGAAAGTTCCAATGATAAAAGAAACAACGTCGCTGCATGAAACTGATCATCATAACCCCCCATCCTGGTAAACGCGATAAGGGCGGCGTATCCTGTTTATTATACGCCCAGCCAGGCGGGAAGGCTTAAAACGTACTGGGACCCAGCTCAACAGTTGGCGATGTCGTACCCTCTCGTCTTTTGCGCTCCTCTTCAGCTCTGATAGCCCGGGCGATCTCTTCAACTTGGATATTGGCAGCTCCCCCCGCCCCCAAATAACCTTCTTGCGAATTTTCAAGTTCCATAGGCGTTACAGGCCCCGGAGATCCCAAAGGTGCCAATCTCGGCTTACCCGGCCCGGGCATGCTTGTAAACCCGATCGTCCTCAATGAGTTTAACGTCGCCGCGCTGACATTTCCACCATTAAGAGCAAGCGTCGCTTGGGCAATCATATCGCGTTGGTATTGCTGTAATCTACGTTTCGCATCGGACTCATTCCGCGAATGACCCATCGCGGAAGAATCTCTGATGGTAGGTACAAGTGACTCCGACTTAGACACCATCGGGGGCAAGGGAGCCGACGTCGGTGGTCGGCTTTGCTGCCGACTTCTCTTTTCTTCTTTTCTTTTCACATAGTTGGAAGGATAATACTTGCCCATAGGTAGAGGGCTGTCCGTAGTCCCTGTTGGTATGTAGCTAGCAACAGGGGTATTGGACCTGGAATCGAAGTCGGGTTCTGGCATGCTCGTAGCACCAGGTGGCGCGAGCATCGTAGATCGTTCTGGCATGATAGCTTTGGGGGCCGTGGTAGAATACATAGCTCCTCCCGTCGGTGCTTTAAAGGAAGTGCCTTTGTCGGGGCCAGGGAAGTCTGACTGGCTTGCACATTCGATGGATTTCATACGGGCTTGGGAAGTCTCAATCTGAAAGGGGTGAGGGCGGTAGACACGAGCTTGGTCTTCGTGTAAGGGGAAATAACCACTACAAAAAGGTAAGGATGGTTAGGCTGCTAAACGAATCCATGTGCATTGTGTCCAACTCGAGAAACGTACCCAGGAAGATCACCACGAGCTGAAAGCGGTGCGGGTGGAGTGTAAACAGGAGCACTATTAACTTTCTTTGTAGCAGGTAACTCAATAGCAATCGGTCTGGTTCTTGCAGGCGTTGATATAAGACCGTCGAAGAGAATCGGGTCTTTTTTTCCTAAATCAGTTACAAGACTTGTTCAGTACCTAATAGCCCAGGTATGACGCAGTTTAACAAAGCACGCGTGTAACCAGAACTTTCAAAGACAAGTGGGAGAGGGGCGCATAGAATGGGCGTTTCAAACGAAGACCCCAACGGAAACGCTAGGTAGTGATACCTAACTGATACCCAGCTGAAGAAACTAGTAGAATAGAAGAAAAGGGTATCCTTGAAATGCACCCCGCCCTGCCCTGCCCTGCCAGCCTACCCGCTTTAGGGGTTTTATATAGTGGAGAAAGAGTTGGAGAAGCCTTAACCTTAGTGGCTTGCAGGGCCCATCCAACCACCGTCTCCCGCTGGCGGTCCCACGTCGGAAAATGGTAATCTTCACCGCAGACCCGGCATTCCGGGGCCTAGGAGGAAAATCAGGTGGGAATTATAGGAATTATGAAAATATAAAGATAAAATATTAAAATATTAACATACCGCTACTCGGTCTTAGCTTTGGAGAAGCTCCGGATTGCTTATGCGATGGATTATCCATTGACGATTCTGGTGAGATTCTCGGTGAGGGTCTCGTAGAGAAGATAATATCGTCTTGCCGAATGTCGGGTGATGAGAGCGGCGATGCTTCGGAGGAGCTTGACATATTTCTTGGAGGTGGAGGTGGTCGTCTTTTCATAGAAGAAAGATACGAAGATGGCTTAAACGAACGACTGAAGCCTGCCATGTTATCGTCAATACCTTTTAAGCCGCAGCTGATAGGTAATCCAGCCCTGCAGCTTTAAGTAGCCTTCCGGATATGTATAGAAATCGGAAAATCTAATGGGCCAGGTCTCTCAGTCAGCACGACCAGTCAGAGGCGGGTAAGCAGATTCAAGATAGGTAAGCCGGGAAGTATAGCATGTTAGACTTTTTGTTAAGACTAAAGTTCGTCGTTCAAATAACCTTATATGTCTAACGGACCGGTGGAGATTTCCACTCGTTGCATACACCAATAGAGCTCCTTTGTGGTTTGATCGGCTTCCTCTCATATGACGACGTGCTTCGCGCTTCGAAATGATGCAGAAGTCGTGCTACCCAATAAACGGCGGGTCGATGGGATGCTTGTTCAAGTACCAAACAAACATAACAATACAATGAATTGAAGAGGGGATGAGGTTTGTCAGATGTCTTACCTTGGCAAGAAATGTCGGCGGGCTTGTGTCCAACCTGAGACGTTGATACCTTATGCTTCTATAGGTAAAACTGCAGGTAAATTGGAGTGCGCTACTATGAAAACGTGATTTGGTCTCAAAAGGGGATCGCCTTCCGGACCCGCGGCGGGCTGGATAGATGATAGTGCGTAACGCGCAGTACTATGTAAGTGGTTGTAAGTGGTAGGTGTGTAGTAGGTGTGTATAAAAAGGTATAAAAGTATCCGGCGTATCCACTCGCAATTTGATAATATGGTAGGGTGGATGGAGGGGATGGAAGAATGAATGAATAGATGAATGTAAGGTAGGTATGTATGAAGAGACCCGCTCCCTCCCTGCTGGTTCTGAGTCCTGGCTACCTTTTACTACCTTTCTATCTGAGGGGAAGACGGGTTGCCGTTGGCATATGATGTGAAGCAAATCTTCTCGGTCGGGTAGAGGTTATTGTCGTTCAAAAGAGAGCAGGTGTTTAACCAGTGGTGGAGATGCAAAGTAAACGTGATAGTGTTTGAGTGAGTGGTGTGTGCGATGTGTGTGGTAGATGGTAAGGTCTGCAGATGTCGACGCTACCTACCCAGACCCAGACACACCTCTCCAAAAGAGATAAACTCCCAAATCCCCTGATATGGAAGTATTGCTGAAATATTGCTGAAAAAATACTTTGTATCATGTAGAAGTAGAAACGGTCGTAATAAATCTTCGGGATGTCGGAATTGCCTAGCATTTCCTCTGACAATATGACGACTCTAGTGTTCTCCAAGTATCTTTTAGTCCGTCGCAAAGCCATCCGAAGGAATAAGCCTTAGTACTGTACCTTGTGGTGTGTATAAAATTCACAGGTTGCTCATCGTTGCCGCAGTAATATTCTTACCCTTACCCTTATCCCTATCCTTAGTAATTATCCCTTATTCTTAAGAAGATGATGACTACCAAAGACGGTAGTGTGGCGTTAGGTACGGGAGAACGATTAAAGGTGTAGAGCACCGGTGATGAGCCGTTGTGATTGGTAAAAAGTTGCAGTTTCCCTACTTCGTAGGTCTGGGGACAATTTACGGTTTTATTTCCTCTTAAACCCCGAGTGAGAAGATGATTGGGTATATGAGGTAGGTGCCTAATTTGGTAATTCCGTTACATGGTGCATACACTTAGCTTAGGTAGTTGCTATGTAGTATTGCGTAGCAGAATCGCGTCAAAAAAGATGCCCCCCTAGCCAGTACCTAATATTCCAAAACATACTCTTATTTTCATTGCTAATAACGCTTTAGCAACATAACATATTAATTTAATATATTGTAAACTTGCAGAATAATACTAAAGCTATCTTATAATAATTTTTAATATTAAATTGACTTAGAATTGACTTTTTTACATTTAATTGAAGTTGTAGTAGTATAATTGTATTTGGGTTTGGGATGGGGCATCTTTTTTGACGCCATTCTGCGTAGGTAGGTATGTAGAGCCTATAAGTTTTTGTAAGGATCCTTCGACTTTCCTGGTAGTGTAAAGTCGTAGGTTAGAGTAAAAGGTAAACAGGCCGGACAGGTACTCCACTCTGGGCACTCACCTTTTGAAAGAAGTACCTGGGTACCTAGGTAGATATACAATGTACATGGTGACAGTTTTGTATCGAAGTGGATTTTTATGTGATGGTTGTTGCTCATTGGGTAGCCCTATCAAGGTTGGCATTTCCGCCCCGCTGCAACATATTGGCACAGTAAAAAAATAAAAATAAAAAGTTTCAAAAAAAGAAGGGAAAAGAAAAGAGGAAATTAATAAGATTTACAGCCTTGTCCACGATCGCCTACGCCTCTCCTCCTTAAGGTGTTCGATGTGAATCAACCAACGATTCAATAATGTGCCGACAGGTCGAACTAACATTAATGTATCCTCGTACGTAACGGGTAATTCTTGACGATCATCCAACCTCCAGATGAGGCCGGATATCGTACGAGCCTTGCTAACCATCAAGGCCATCAACGCATCCCACCCACATCAATCATACCTTGGCGTCGGCCTGTAGGTACCCTCCAGACTACCTTCCAGACCACCACTTCCTCCGATTATTCTATACCGGCCGAGAGGGTTCATATCGGCTAGCGTGTAGGATTTCCACGCACAAAAACGGCATCAGTCTCCTCCGGCTTCACCATAGGCACCACACCTTTCTACTAACCTCATCAGATCTATGTCATAGCTCGTCTGAGGACGAGACGCGACCGGGGTCCCGAATTCGCACTTTACCTTAGGCCCTGGAAGCTGGATAGTCTGATAGTAGGTTGTATTGCTACCCAGTCTGCCAGTCTGCCAGTCTGCCAGTATGCGGCGATCAACGTTTTCCGTAGCGTATTGCACATCAAGTCGCCTCCCGTCTCGTAACTCGCAACTTGTAACTGAGCGACTTTAGGTACCAAAATAAACACACAGTCCCATAACTTATGAGAACTCTCAACTCAACTCATAATATATGCCCTATCAGCCTATGTATGCAGGTACGTATAATGTACGATCGTATCTCTCTGGAATAATGTCAGAATATGTCTGTCTATCAGTTCTACTATTATTCAACGGGGGAGAATTTCAGTCCCGACCCATATAAGAAGAGCCAAAAAAATATAGTGTTTACGAGTTTCACTGGTAATAACCCCTAACCCCATCTTAGATTCTCGCCACGAGCTAATTTCTGTATGGACGCCTAACAACCAGACAGCTCGACTGGCCCCCTTGTGAGATCATCCTACCTACCTGCCTGGCAGGCGCGAAAATTAAATGAGCAGTTGACCCACAAAAACAACAGCACATACAAGACTGACTATGTTGAATTCAAAAAATTATAGAAATTCGTAGAAAGGTAAACAAGAAATAAGGAAAATCACATAAATAATATATACTTTTACAATTATTTTGATATAATTCGTGTATTATTTGCTATTGGTTTGGCTATAGAATTACAAGTAACTGAAGTAGGTTATTGGTTTTGGTAGGGCTGCTCATTTAAAACTCGAGGCCGCCAGCCTGCCTACCAGCGTCTCCGTAGGTTTGAGAATTTACGGTGTAAAAATTCAATATATGGTCATGGCGGCTGGACGAGCCCATCAGAGTGTACATGCTGTGCGGTGGGCTTTGGTATTCAAGCCCTTATCATGGAAGAAAAAACTCACGAATGCATCCTTTCAACAACCTACCAACTTCTTGCAGCCCTTTTTTGTGTGTGTGTTTTACCGGGTTGAGCATGAAGCATCGAGGCATCTGAGCCTCTCGGCAATAGGCACAATACCTTTACTATTAGTACCAGACGATGCCGGAAAGAGGTAAGTCTCCGTCGATCTACAAGTATATAGTAGATCGATGCCCGGGGACAAAAGCATAGTCCCAATCACCGCCCGGGGTCTATGCTGTAGTGTACCTAAGCAGCTAAGGTATCTATCTGGTTTTCTTTTTCTCCACGCTGGTTGCCCTCTTACACGTGTAGGTATGTACTAACTATATGTTGTTATCCTTGCCAATCTCTAACCCCTAGTCAAGATGAGATACCTTCTCAGTTCATTTAACTGCCTGGGTATTACGTATCTGCATTGTTTCTCATGGTCGTTTACGTGACGAAGATCTCAGGCTAGTGAGGTTCACGGCGCCCCGGTCTTTTGTCAACGAATTTTCTACTAGCATGGAGGAGAATTAAATGCGCTAAGCGCGGTTCTACTCGGGGGACTCAAAGTTCAATCCCCGTCCTGGCGTCAAACAAACAAAAAGAGAATTCTATAATAGAGTTGATAAGATATGACGTAGGTGGTGGTGGCCCCTTGTTGCATTTCTCGGGATCCTCGAGTTACCTATGATATGCAGGCATTCCACGATCCCCCGGTCACCAGTACCTAGTGTAAGAGACCTCATATAGACGGGTATGACAGAGGTAAGATATTGATCAATGCATTGCATTACATACCTTAGGTACCTAACGCAGTCACTTTAGAAAAGTCATTCGTCCAACACGATATCTACCTAATTTTTTTTAGTTCCATTTATTTTTCTCTTGGAAACAAGCACGCATAAAACCACAGCCCCAGCGCTACCGCATCAGTAAGGCTATGTAGAACCTGGACTACTAAAAGAGAGCCTAGTATAGGTTGAAGCGGTATACCTAACTTAAGTGGATGATGACAAGCTTTTAAAGGACGTTGCAATAAATGTCACGTTCTAGACGACACTTGCACATATAAACCTCCTCTTTTTATCGATGCTGGCTATATGCAAAGTCGAATGAGCTACAGGCCTATAATGCAACGTGGCATAGACTTCGCAGAGCCTCGACTATCTATTGACTCCAACTCTTTGATTATGTCACTTTACATCCATGACGAATTGTTCCGAAATCCAAGCCGCGCTTTTTGGGTATTCGTAACTCTCTCAGTGTCAATCTGTCACTCATGCTTCCCACCACCATAACCGCATGTACGTCCCAACATCTTCCCTGTCAACGTCAGAACCTACCAATATAATATACTCGAAACAACATAATAGCCGCATAGGATAGAATCACGCCGTCCAAGTGGTCGATCGAACCGACGTATTCCGACCCAGTTGAGCACGGCCAGTAAAGCGACTCCGACGATCACGGTGAGTCCACCAATAAGCGGCGCTCGCAACGAACCCGATCAACCATAGTATTGCGTTCGCCAAATTAACCCATACGGCGTTCTTCATCCTTTGGATGTCTCCATTTCCTTCCGGGTCTTCGTGGATATACATGCTGCCAAACAGACCGAAGAGAGCTATCCACAAGACAAACATGATAAAATTCCATATCGTGATTGCCGCGAACCGTAAAATGAACGGGATGAAGTAAAGGACGGCCGTCAGTGCAGCAAGAGCCCCCACAACTTCAGCGTAGACCTATAAGAGATGGGACACTGCCGTCAGCCTTTTGTACTTCTTAAAGCAAACATCTAACATTAGCTTGCCGCAAGGGGCGGAACTAGTCTTCCAACATACCCATTTTCCATCGATGTATTTGCCCTGGGAACGCGCGCGCGAGAGGTCAACGCCGTATAATCCGCAGACAGTAATGGCAAGTACAAATTGGGCGAAATGGAGAACGGAGAAGAGCAAGTAGCTCACTGCCATTCCAAACGCGATCATGGTCGCAACGCTCAGCGGAACCGCGATAAGAGTTAAAAAGAATGACAACTGCGACTTTTTAGCCCAACGCGCAGAACTTGGATATAGGTAGCGATGCTGCGCGCTATACGGCGGCGAGCGCGCGCAAAAAGAATGAGCTACAGAGAAACAGGAACGCTTGGAATTCGAAGATTAAAAATAATAATAAAATAAACTAAAAAACAAACTGACTTTGACCAGATAGTAAGATAATATAAAAGCAGGTAAATGTGTATATACGTAGGTATAATTAGTTATACCAGAGATGCCTTGTAGTGTAGTCGCGCGCGAACTTGCGACGTTTGGTCAAATATTTTGTATAACTAAAGTGCCTCTGACGTAATTGATTAAAGCTTGCTAGGCCCGAAGCTTGAAGCCCGTTTTAGGCGTTTAGGCGAACGCTAAAGTTTACTTTCGTCAATCCTTGCTTGCTTTTAGGCTCTATCACATCCGCCGCGGCCCCTAGAGAGAGCAGAGGCTTCGCTTGCGATTGGCTGTTGAATAGCAGGATGAACCATAACGAACTATGCGCCTGTGCTTTCAGAGTGGTGTTTTTAGCGTCTAGCCCCCAGACTCTTGCATATACGTATCCATGTATAAGTTTCCTAATTCGGACAAACGCCAAGAGAGGGTTTGGAGGTTAGTTGGTTATTATTGGTGAGATGAAGAAGCTAGCTTTCTCGGACTTTCGGACATATACCATGTTAAAGTCTTTAGAAGAAGAAAAAAAAGCATTTCTAACCTCGTTATGTGAAGTTATATTTACAAGGTAGGTAGCTAAAGCCTTTGTTAGGTTAGTTAAATAGGTACATACCTAGATAGTTACCTGTTAAGCTTGGTTGGCTTTTGCTTTTACAAAGCGGTCTAATGAGTTCTTCAAGGATTAGACTAACTAAACCAGAGACTACCATACCTGTTTGAGAAGACATCCAACAAGGGCTATTAAACATCGATATTTCAGTAGGATTAAGACTAGATAGATTCAACTAGAGGCCTGTCCCCAGTGGCGACGCAAGTTCAGCTTCGCATTTCATAGCCTTCGTTCTTGTCATCAGCAGCATCAGATATGCAATAGTGTTTGCTGCTGAAAACGTGGGGGTTAAAAAAAAAGGTCAAAGTTGACAAGTCACTCAACGGGGATTTTCCCGGAAGGAATGCTGTCCAGCTAGGTATGAAATTCCTCCTTCCAGATCTTGGGGCCGTTGATCCAGATTACGGAAAGCCGGGCGCTGTGGCCTGTCTTCCCAAATTACCTTACATCCAATGGGGTGTTAACCCCAACTCTGGTATCTCCGAATACCCCTCTAATTGTTGCACGTCTCCAAGTCTCACGACATGATATACCTAAAGAGCCGCATGACGGGACAAATTGCTTTCCATTCTCGTGATGTAGCAAAGCTTTAGGACTTTTAAAAAATGGTCTATATAAGTGATGTGGCCCACGTCCGAGTCTTGGAACCGTCATAAGATGCTGAAGATACCGGCTGAGTTCCGGGGTCAATCGGGGCGTACGCGGCCGCTTATCATATCCGGGTATGAATCTCAGCTGTGTAGTTACACCGTTAAATTCCTTTAGCTTACATCATATACAATATATCAAGAGGATTTTTCTTTTTTTTTTCCTCCCTCTTTTTTTCTAACCCCCCTTTCCTCAAGGAGCTTCGAGGTAAACCCCGCCTCGTCTGGACCTCCCGTTTGTTACCGTTGATATTAACGCCAGGTTTCAGACCGCCTGATTCAGCTGGTTTCCAATTTCGGTAGACGGCGCGTTATAGTGGCGGTCGTACAGATGATAAGTCTACCGGCGAAACTCGCAGGTTCAGGATGATGCTCGCTGCGTGGGAATCAGCCCTACGACCGCGTTAGGCCTCACGGCTATGCAATACCACTTTTCGTGCAGCTGTTGGGTCTGTCACCTGAGAGTTAAGGCTACCGAGCAAGCGGGAGCCAATATAATCGCGTAGTAGTTGGATCGGTTACCGAAAACCGTATAGTGGCTGTACGAACGACATGTCTGTGAGTCGCCGGTTTCCTCGAAGGGACCGTCCGCAATCAATATTGAGGACGAGATACATCAATCAGCATGCTATTTTCCACCGAGAAGGGGGCATGGCTCATGGAAGTGGAACTGGTCCTACCGAATCTATCTGGTTATCTCGTTAGGAAGTGCGTCACATGTCGAGCTTGGAAGTACTCCCAATCGAATGGCGATGTCTGTGAACAAGGAAGTCTATTAGTTAGGCAAATACCATTCCTAACCACTTACATGGCTGGTCCCGATAGGCGTAATGCCTCCCTGACCGAGCCCTAGTCATACGACGCTGACATCCTGAGCCACTGGTCGTCTATCAGCGTGACAACCAGATATGGCTCCTGAAACTACAATCTTGTCTAAGTTCATCCTTGTGTCTACTTGGTTGCGGTACTGGGCTGTGAGTCTCGAGGATGAGATATAAAGGTAGATAGAAATCCGCCTAGATGCCTAGAATTTATTACCATCATCACTCGCCTCTGATTGCAAAAGCTCCTAGCTACCAATACGCAGTAAACCGTCATATCAAATATACGTCACCTCATACTAGACTTCTCTCAGTTCTTAATTATCATTATGTCTCCTCTAAACTCGCACTATCAGCACCTTGCCAGCTCAAACGGCATGAACAGAAACTACCACGACCACATTACCACGGCTTGCTTCTCTCATAAATCAAAACCAGTACGAACTACGACCGATACGAGTGAGTGGCGCTGGAAATGCGTGAGTTCTCCAATGTTTTACCATTACTAGTTAGTAGCTAACAAAGCCGGAGTGCAACTGTGACGCTGGGGGTAATAACTCCTTCGAATACAATGCTCGTTGCACTGATTGTGGGCATGGACGATGCGCAGAGTGCAGTACCTGGAAGCCGAAATAGATACTCGAACTAGGCACAAAGCACAACCGGCATGGCTACCATGGAGAAGGTATCTGTGCCGAGCTGAGGGTTTCACGCCTTTCCTTTTTTTTCCTTTTTTCCTCAGGAGGCTCCGTTTTTTTTAGAATATACACTTCAGGATCACTGCCTTTCTGGTTACGATTAGTGGAGGTTACACGGTCTTTAAAAGTTCCAAAAGTTCAGATATCTCTTGTCTCCTATTTGTGGTTTCGGACGGAATGAGAAGTAGATGAAGGCTCACGCCAGTTTGGGTTTACATGGGATTTGTCTTCTTTTCGGGAAACACAAAAGCGGCACAGATTCAGACTTTAGTTATAGGTATCATTGATAGATTGGTTGATATAGAATGTCAGTTATAACACTTTACGGACGATGGCACACAAGGTGACATGAGGCTGATAATACCCTAAAAACCCTGTTGTTGGTAAGACCGATTCTCCAACATAGGGTTCTCCAACCACGCAACTCCTGTGACTCGCTTCGCATATCGTTAAGGAATTTAGACTTGGACGGGAAATATGGCTACAGGATCGCAGATATTATGCATGCATGCATCAGCCCTAGGAAGTAACCGCTGAATATACTTTAAACATTGGCTCCATGCAATGATACCTATAGCCAGCAAATAACTTGGCACAACTAACGTGCCGGCCGTACGAGGTACTTCTACCGTGTCCTAGTATTGTACATATCCTAGTACTCACCCAGCGTTAGCTTCTCGTGTTAGCTGAGATGAATAACCGGTTGCCTGTGCGTAGCACTCATCACAGCTACGCCCGTCAGAAGTATACTCTGCTTACGAGAAGTGACACCAACTCTATACCGAAAATCTGGGCACTCAAGAGCACTAATTGGCGATGCGCCTTGAGTGCAGCGCTAGCCAGGGGCGAGCACCGGCACCGGCAATTGGCAGGTACAGCCTGGAACGATACTCGGCTCTCGAAGCGGGTGCCAAATCAGAGCAATTTCAAGGCAGCTAAAGTGCCTTCCAGGCCGTGAATATGCGGCCCGGGCAGGAAAAAGAAAGGCCAGGGCGGATCCGTCAGCCAAAAGTGTTCATACAAGGAGGAAATGGCGGTGGGGATAAAAGTTGCTATACAAGTCTAGTCCCCCTTCTCCCCCCTAATTCCCACCATTGATATAAGTCATATGGAAGAATGGGGGGCCGGATATATGCTAGACAAGCTATTCGAGTGGCTCACAAGCTGAGTAAGGATGCTTGGGGGGGGGGGGGGGGGGGGGGGGGGGGGGGGAGGGGGGGGGGGGGGGGGGAGGAAAAAATATTAAAATAAAACACAAAAAAAAAAAAAAAAGAGTCAATAAAGAAGTATGGTGGGTTT